AAAGATTTATAGATAAAAGAGTCGATTTACGTCTTTCACGGCCTTTGTTGGATTCGATTTTTTAAATACCCCAGATACCTTAGAGGTCTTTAGAAATTCAATCACTTCTTCAAGATTTTACACCAAGATTTCCCAGATATCTTGCAGAAAAAACTACAACATCAATATAAAAGACAAGTTGGACAATTGCCAAAAATCAAGGCGATTAAAATCGGTCTATGTGTTTGTTGTTAGCAGTTTAACAAAACCCCCAGATGTCTTATAGATCAGCATGTTTTTATCAATATATCTGATATAGGCTCGAGAACTTTACTAATAAAAATCTTAGAAATCTGCGCAGAAACTTCTACGAGACTACTTTGGTTTTCGAACCTCTTTGGTTATATCTGTGATAAATACCCAGTAAAAATTTGATATATACATATATATCAAATTAAAGCTTTTTTTAAAGGGCTTTAACCCAGATGTAATATGGGCCATTATGTTCATATATATTACATATTGGACCGAGAACTTTACTACTAAAAATCTTAGAAATCAGTGTCTAAATGGCTGACAAAAATTAGAGACTACGTTGATTTTTGAACCTATTTTGTTATATCTCTGATACTAAGTTTTGTATATAGATAAAATATATATCAAATGAAAGCTATATTAAAGAGCTTTACCCCCAGATGTAATATGGCTAAGCTCTCGAGCAATAAGTTCTCTACATAGATAAATTGTATATCAAATGAAAGCTATATTAAACAGTTTTATAAAACATTTCCTGTTCTGGGTTTTGACCTAAAATGCTACAAAGGAAACTGTTTTTTTTTACCAAATTCTTTATGAATTTTCTTACTTCTTCCTCATTTTTTTATTTTCTTTCTTATTATATAATATTCCGCAAAAATTATATATATAAAAAATATTGTTTAACATTTTAGTCATTGTTAAGTAAATATAAACAAAATGTGCGAATTTTGTTTTCTTTTAAAAAACAGGCCTTGTTTTTTTTGGATTTTGTTTATTAAACGATAAAATTTTATAAACAAGCTGCTAATTTTATAAATAAAATTCCTTTTATAAAAACAAAAAAATACTCACACTCAATGTTGATAAGTTAACAAAAATAATATTCAGTATTTTTTTTTCGGCAAAAAAAAAAAAACAGTGATAATTTGTTTTAAACGTTCTGACTCTTGGGGACTTCAACAGGGGGGGGCTTAAATGACTTAGATAACTTTGTTATAAAGTTATTAAAAAATATATGTCATTGGGGTATTAATTTACTTTCTTTTAAACAAACCCAGCGAGAAATTCAGCTGTAATCATATATAATATTCGATCCAAAAATAAGGGCCTTTATCAAATATTCTTGATCGAATGAGTTTAAATATCTAAAATTCCAAATTCAATTTTACTTGTGCTGGAATGCAAGTAATTCTATCTGATTTTAGACGGAACACAATTTAACTTTAACTTTAACAGACTTAAGAGAACAGGTTTTCTAGAAAGTTTTTTTCCACAACATTTTGCTTGAATATATATTTTTATTGTATTATTGATTTAATCCGTTATTGGACATTCTTTTCATTTTAAGTTTTTTTTTTTTTAATTATCAGATTCTTTCTATATTTAACAAAATTTTAACTTCCGCTTTATAATTCATATTTTTTTTATTGAATAATATTTATTTAAATGTTTTTTTCTATATTTCTTCTCTGTTTTGTTTCTCAAATTCTCAAACATCGTTTTTTTATATCTTTGCACAAATTTGTTTTCACCCAAAAGAAGTAAAAATAATAAGAAACAACAAAAAAATTAACAATTCTAATTGTTTTATTTTCGCCATAAATAAAATATTTTTGTTTAAATAACAACAATTCCAGTCATCGGCAACATTTAGTCATGTCTACCAAAAAAAAATTTTAAATGAGAATAAAATCAGTCAGTCTGTTGATGTCTGACAGTTGAAGCGCGTGTATGATACAAGGCACTCCACCCCCGCATTTATAATTATCTCACACACTACCAAATTTTAAACAACAATAACAAAAATTTAAGAAATATAATTTAAAAATATATAACTATAAAAATAAAACTCTGTTTTTCTATAGATTTTAATAAAAAGAAACTAGATTTGAATGCTTGTTTGTCGATATTAACCCATTTCTAGTCTATAATGTAGTCTGTAGTCTAGTATATAGTCTAGTATGTAGTTTAGTCTATAGTCTAGTCTATTGTCTAGTCTATAGACTAGTCTATTGTCTAGTCTATAGTCTAGTCTATTGTCTAGTCTATAGACTAGTCTATTGTCTAGTCTATAGACTAGTCTATTGTCTAGTCTATAGACTAGTCTATAGTCTAGTCTAGTCTATTGTCTAGTCTATAGTCTAGTCTATAGTCTAGTCTATAGTCTAGTCTATAGTCTAGTCTATAGTCTAGTCTATAGTCTAGTCTATAGTCTAGTCTATAGTCTAGTCTATAGTCTAGTCTATAGTCTAGTCTATTGTCTAGTCTATAGACTAGTCTATTGTCTAGTCTATAGACTAGCTAGTCTATTGTCTAGTCTAGACTAGTCTAGTCTAGTCTATTGTCTAGTCTATAGTCTAGTCTATAGTCTAGTCTATAGTCTAGTCTATAGTCTAGTCTATAGTCTAGTCTATAGTCTAGTCTATAGTCTAGTCTATAGTCTAGTCTATAGTCTAGTCTATAGTCTAGTCTATAGTCTAGTCTATAGTCTAGTCTATAGTCTAGTCTATAGTCTAGTCTATAGTCTAGTCTATAGTCCAGTCTAGTCTAGTGTATAGTCTAGTCTATAGTCTAGTCTATAGTCTAGTCTATAGTCTAGTCTATAGTCTAGTCTAGTTTGTAGTCTATAGAGGCTAGACTATAGACTAGAGTCTAGTCTATAGTCTAGTCTAGTTTGTAGTCTATAGAGGCTAGACTATAGACTAGAGTCTAGTCTATAGTCTAATCTATAGTCTACTATAGTCTAGTCTATAGTCTAGTCTAGTCTATAGCCTAATCTAGTCCATAGTCTAGTCTATAGTCTAGTCTATAGTCTAGTCAATAGTCTAGTCTATAATCTATTCTATAGTCTAGTCTATAGTCTATTCTATAGTCTAGTCTATAGACTAGTCTATAGTCTAGTCTATAGTCTAGTCTATAGTCTAGTCTATAGTCTAGTCTATAGTCTAGTCTATAGTATAGTCTATAGTCTAGTCTATAGTCTAGTCTATAGTCTAGTCTATAGTCTAGTCTATAGTTTAGTCTATAGTCTAGTCTATAGTCTAGTCTATAGTCTAGTCTATAGTCTAGTCTATAGTCTAGTCTATAGTCTAGTCTATAGTCTAGTCTATAGTCTAGTCTATAGTCTAGTCTATAGTCTAGTCGATAGTTTAGTCGATAGTTTAGTCTATAGTCTAGTCTATAGTCTAGTCTATAGTCTAGTCTATAGTCTAGTCTATAGTCTAGTCTATAGTCTAGTCTATAGTCTAGTCTATAGTCTAGTCTATAGTCTAGTCTATAGTCTAGTCTATAGTCTAGTCTATAGTCTAGTCTATAGTCTAGTCTATAGTCTAGTCTATAGTCTAGTCTATAGTCTAGTCTATAGTCTAGTCTATAGTCTAGTCTATAGTCTAGTCTATAGTCTAGTCTATAGTCTAGTCTATAGTCTAGTGTATAGTCTAGTCTATAGTCTAGTCTATAGTCTAGTCTATAGTCTAGTCTATAGTCTAGTCTATAGTCTAGTCTATAGTCTAGTCTATAGTCTAGTCTATAGTCTATTCTATAGTCTAGTTTATAGTCTTGTCTATATTCTAGTCTATAGTCTTGTCTATATTCTAGTCTATAGTCTAGTCTATAATATAGTCTATACTAGATTCTATTTCGAAAAAATCTGTCTGACCGTACATCCTCCCTTAGAGGGTTAAACAGAAAATGAAGAAAACAAAAACAATACAAGTATTAGTAATTGTTATATGCCTTTTTATTGTTGTAGTTGTTGCTTTAGTATTATTTTTCTAATTTCTGATTTACCCCACTCCATGTACCGGCTATTAAAGTCAGTTGTTTTTGTTTTTTTCACTAATTTTGTTTTGCTGATTGGGGTTTGAGAGTGTATAAAACAAAAACAAAATAAAACAAATACAAACAAATTCAATGTCAAGGTTATAAATAAAATACAAAAACGAAAAAAAAAAACAACAAAATTATAAAGCTTGTTTTTTATTTTCTCTTTCATTTCATTTTGTTTATGTGTTTTTTTATTTTATTTTTTGGCACTTTTTTAGCGTTTTTATAAAAAAATTGTTGTTATTTTTTGATAACTTTATACAAAATGTATAAATAAAATAAATGGCAAAAAAAATGTTACACTCACACACACACACTTTTTAATTGAAAGTGTGTGCTGCTTAAATAAATAAAGATTATTCATCAGCCAGGCCTTATTATTATTATTATTATTTTTTTTACCTGAAACTCGTGTGTTGCTAAAACAATGAGTCAAAATTTAATTTTTAAAATTTTTTCTTTTAAAGCTAAAAGAAAATTTGCCTTTTTCTTTACAAAAAGCAGAAAAATGGCAATTTTTGTCTTAATAGAAAATATTCTTTATTTTTGCCCTTTTTAAAACCACGCTGCTGTTTAATATAATTTAATTTTACTACTTTTACTTATCGTTTTTGCAATTATTATTATTTTATTCAATTTAAAAAAATCTTTATATATTTTTTTAATTCTGTGGTTTTTACTTTTTTTTACAATAGTTGTTGGCTGGATAGTTGCTATTGTTTTAATACTGTTTCATTTTTTTTTTACAAAAGTCTGTGATAAATTAATATAAATTATCATTAAACCGCAGGCAAGTTGGAACCCCGTATGTTAATTGTAAAATCATTTATCAATTTTATTTAAATACGTTTTAATTAAAACGTTATTTTTCTTTTTTTGCAAAAATAATTTAGTGTTTTTAATAGAAATACCTTTCTTTCTGTTTCTTTTTCTTATAGTTCTACATCTGGCTGCAATGGCATCTTTTCACGTCGTTTGGATTTTTCATCATTCAATCTTTTGCCCAAGACACGTTTGAATTCCTATCAAGTTAAGGTAAGTTTAAAAGCTTTAAAGCTTTGTTATTTAAACCTTAGATATCTGTATAATTTGAAGCAATTTCTGAAAACTCCACATCATATTTTCACTCCGTTTAAGATTTTTAGAATTTTCGCTTTAGGAATTTGGAAAATTTCAGATTTAACTATGACAAATAAGATGTCATTCCGATGTCATTGGTCATAGACCCACATAAGTATATGCTGGGTTCTTAGTAAATTCTAAGACTATCTAGCCATGTCCTTCCGTCCGTCCGTCTGTCTGTCTGTTGAAAGCGCAATAGAGTCCGAACGGAAAGAGCTAGAGACTTGAAATTTTCCATAAATAGGTAAGGTTTGTTTGGTAATGAAAATAGCCCCCATACAAGTGGTCCTACGAAAAACAGATTTAACACTCATAACTGTTTTAAAAATGCGATTATAGCGATGAAATTTGTCATAACTATCGGATCGATCCATAATTGACCCTACCCTTCAAAAAATTACTTTACTGGTTTAAAAATGCGAGTCTAGCGCTGAAATTAAACATAAATAAGTTTCTTATGAGCAAAAATCTTTCTACCGAAGTTTATGAGGATCGGTCCATAATTTAACCTATTTCCACTCCCTATAAGATTCGGCATAGCATGAATATTTTGCCAATAATAAAATCTTCTTATAGTTCATTAACCTTTGCATATATTTTCAGTTTCCTTCAATGGAATCAAAGTTTTCAAGCAAATGTCATAATTAAATTTCAAATGCATAAACAAATCCATTCCATAATTTATTCTATACAAAACGAAAATTTAATATAAAGAAAGTATACCCCGCATTCAAAACGACTACACCGATAAGCTACACCGATTATTAGGCGAAGGTGTCCAAATCAGTATTTTCCATGTGAAAGAAAGCACATCACAACCGTAAACGGGAATTTTTTCGGATCCGACTTTCTGCAGAAACTAACCATTATCGGTGGCATAGAGAATCTTATGTAAAAGCTATACCCGATCAAATAGAAATATTTCTAAGAGATGAATGCAAGATGTAGATAGAAAATATCAACTGTTATGGAAAGAGTATAAAATTAACTTTTCATCCAGAGTTACAAGCCGTTTCAGCTCAAATAGGCGGCTAGTCGCCGCCAAGTATTGGCAAGCCGCGCCGCCGCCGACTCGAAAACTTATGTTTTTCTTAAAAAATTTGCACCGAGTTGCCACTTTTTTCAGACAAATAAAAGAGTTGCCACATCATTTTTTCTTCATATATAAAATGTGCAAAAAACTATTACAAACAATTTTTCATAAAAATAACTGTAATAATGACAATTTGCCATAAAAAATACTTATATAGAGATACTTTTCTATCTAACAAACCAAAATAAACTCATTTTTCTATATAACAAATGCATATATAGAAAATTTTCTGTAAACAACAAATTCTCAGCATAGATTTAGCCGATATATTAGCCGCCGCCGGTATATTTTATAAAAAGTTGCCGCCGCCGACCAAAAATGGTCGAGCCGCCGCCAATCATTTTGCATCGGCTGGTATATCTGTTCTGATCCCAAGATTTTTAAAAGTTTTATTCAAATAATTTCGGGAAATGGAACGTATAGGAACCGTATGACTATTATGAACTAGGAAATATGAAATTATGAACTAGGAAACAGAAATATCAAATTTTGATAAATTAACTGATAAATTGGAATCTATAAGTTAATAAAATATTTAAATACAGACGGAGAAAATGGAACAAATATCTTTAGACTTTACACAAGCCTATTATATTGGCTGCATTATCTTGATGTAGGGTATAAAACATACACATTGAAAACAAAAGCAGCTATGAAAAAATAAACAAATATATTTTGTAATTTTAGTTTTGTAAACAAAACGTAAAAATAAACTTAAATTACCAAAAAAAAAAAAAATAATATAAACAAATAATAAAAAATTATGAAAAAGTGATGATTAAACAGTTTACTATGGATAAATATATGAAAATTTTTTTTCGAATTGTTTTTAATCTATATAGTAATATGATCTTAATAAAAAGTTGGAGGAGTTTGTTTGTTTTTGTTTTTCGTTCCTTATGTTATTAAATCTTAAAATAAAATATATGACAAAATAATGAAATAATAAAATAATTTCTAAGAATTATAAATATTGTTATTAACTTAACAGCTGTGACATATATTTATTAAATTATAAGGAATAAACAAACAACTACATACATATATTTAATTCATAAGAATATATAATAGAAATTGTTTAAACCAAAATACATATTTTTTTTTGTTAAGTAGACAAATATTGAGACAGTGAAACATATGATAATAAACTACTCTGGCAAAGCTAGTAATTATAGTAAAAATGCTACAGTTTACAAGGCCTCTAGAACAGAAATTTAGGAGCAAAAAATTTTTACTAGAGATTATATTAGCAAAACTTAAATTATTGCAAATAAAAGTTGTAAATTTAAAAGACCTGATCTTTTACTACACTTACAAAGGCTTGTAATCAGCTTAGAAAATATATAGCAAAAATGCTACAGTTTGTTAGGTTCCTGATCTTGGAATATGAGCTGTTTAACATCGAGTTTTCATCGTAGCAAAATACTACAGTTTGCACGTGTTGTAAATATGAAAGCCTTTAGTAGATTTGACCTTAAGTCTAACCTGTTTAAGTCTTGCACATTTGCAACATATGTTTACAATAGACTTGTGTAGCAAGTTTTCTCTAAGTTATTTTAATATTCTTCTGCTCAAGTCTAGCATATTTGCAAGATCTATATTGTAATAATTTTCAGCATTATAAGTTTTCTCTGGTCTAAAGTTTCTATATATATATTTTCCCCCCTATCTGTATATCGAAAATGAATTACCACACTGAATTTTTACTTTCCATTTAACACTCACACACACACACACACAAAATCAACGACAAAGCTATTAAGTAATAAAATGTTTAAATACTTTTCTGTTTTACTTGTTCTATTCTCTACCATTACATTCTATTATTATAATTATTAAATATAATTATAGAAAAATTTAACACGCCATCAAATTCCATGGTAAAAAGGCGTTTATTTTTTTATTATAGTAAGTTAAGAGTGAATAACATTTTCACTGTACGGAATTCTAAGAATTTTTCGATGAAATTCTTTATTTTGTCATAAATAAATGTAGCATGAAATTAAAGTGTTTTATTTTTTTTGTATAATATAAATTAAAATATATGTATAATCTTATTGTTTTGCTTAGTTTGTTAGATAGTAAATTTATCCAAGTAGTTTTAGTGGCGCAACATGTCCCCCTTTAAGAGGGAGTAGGTCTTTCTAAAAGGAAAAAATTGCCATTTTAGTGTCTCCTTAGACATAGCTGTTAGATCCGGGTCCTATCACTCCTTTTTGAAGTAAAAATTAGTCAATTGTTTACTTAACAGGTTATAGGTAATCTAGCGGGTAAACATTTTAAAATTTTTTTTCAAATCGTAGTGGTACTTATGACTTTCACATTCTTTGAAATGCAAAAAGGCATCAATTGCTTACTTGACACAACACGCTTGTTATTTTGCCTCTTTAGTGTCCCTGAGTAAACAAAAGTGTGGTCAGTAGAAAGCAGTTATTACCGCCAAGGTCTATTAGCTTTCCCTTGACTTCATTACATGTCATCTGCAATCTGCCATTAAGGCAATTGTCACTTTAGTTCCTCTTTATGAATGAACTCATTTAAATTCAAACATAAGTAAAGCGTAACACAGGTAATCTAGCGGGTAAGCACATTAAAATGCTTTCCAAATGCCTGTCTTTCACCTTCTTTGAAATGTAATGAGGAATTAATTGCTTACTGAACACAACACAGATAACCTATCGCGTATTATTTTGCCACTTTAGTGTCCCTTAGTAAACTAAAGGGTGGTTAGTCGGTGGTAGTTATTACCGCTAAGGTCTATTAACTATGAATTAAATATATGCCTACATTACATGTCATCGATCATCTAACATTTAGGCAATTGTCACTTTAGTTTCTCTTTATGAATTTCTTTTAAATACAAACATAAGTCAATTGTTTTTCACTTTAGTGTCCCTTAGTAAACAAAAGTGTGATCAGTCAGAGGTAGTTATTACCGCTATGATCTATTAACTTGTCCTTTGCTTAAATTACATGTTATCGATAATCTACAAATTAGGTAATTGCCACTTTAGTTTCTCTTTAGGAACTTTTTTTAAATACAAAATGATGTCAATTGTTTACTTGACTTAACACTGGTAATCTAGCGCGTAAGCACTTTAAACTTTTTCAAATCCCTATCATTCTAAACACTTTCATCTTCTTTGAAATGCTATAAAGAATCAATTGTTTACTTAACACAACACAGATAATCTAGCGCATTCTTTTTTTTCCTCTTTAATGTCCCCGAGTAAACAAAAGTGTGGTCATTTGGAAAAAGTCATTACCGCAAAGGCCTATTAACTGTCCCTTACATAGCAAAGGTAATCTAGCACAGAGGCAATTGTCAATTTAGTGTCTCTTAATAAAGAAGAGTATAGTCATTTAAAACTTCTTGTTTACGTAACATAGCACAGGTAAACTGTCGGGTAGTCACTTTCACATATTTGCTGTTCAGTTTCACTATTTTCTTTTTAGAAGATTTTAGCCTTAAAACTACAGTAAGGTTTTCTGTTAATCTAGCAATTGTAAATTGATTTCTTTGCGTGCCACAGGAGATCAATTGTCCCCTAGTAAACTGTAGTGTAAACATTCCTCCTAGTGTTTCTTAGCACTTGAATATCCTTTTAAAAGCAAAAAATAATCAATTGCTTACTTATCACTTCACAGTTAATCTAAAGCTTGTTACAATTAACACTTTAGTGTCTCTAAGTAAACTAAAGTGTAGTCAGTTTACACATTTTTCTCTTCTATATCTAAACTAGTTCATGGATCCATGTATGCAGTCTTAATTGACTTGCTCCTTTGATAGGTATATAATTACTAAAATAACTGTAACCCTTACTAACACTTAATCTGAGATATAGACCTTCAGACCTGCAGGAATTTAAACCCGCAGTAAGTGGTGTTAGTAGTAATAGTTGTTTTTCAATCTAACACTATAAGGATTATTTTAAGCTTTTTTGTTTGTGTCTGCTGCTGTAACTCTACTAAGAACAGACAAAGCCTGCTAAATTGTGAGGAGCAAGAGAGTGTGATTAGAATTTATAAAAGCAGACAGGTGTAATGACATTTACAAGAAAATAAAGATTTAATTTTGGTTCTGTTTGTTTTTTATTTTACTTTGTTTTCAGCTTTATTGTTGTTGTTTTTTGCCATTAAGTATTTATTAC